CGGTTCTCGCCGCAGCCGCCCCTGGTCCAGGCCATCTTTAGCCGAGATGTGGAGGAAGTGCGTTCCCTCCTCTCGCAGAAGGAGAACATCAATGTGCTGGTGAGTTGGGAGCAGGGAGGATGGCGAGCCCGCAATCCGGGCTCCGGGTTCTGGACCCCTCCCCGCCCGTGGGGCGGCTCCGTGGCTCCTCCGCTCGGAGAAGGCCGCAGCTCTTTCCACCCCGGAGTGGGAGCCTGCTCTGCGTTTGGGAATGGAGAGCGGGTCAGGAGTGGAGCACGGATCAGTTGGGCAGGGGATGCCCAGAATCGGTGTTCTCTTCTGAACCGCCGGGGTCTGGAGCGCCCCCACCCCTCCGGCTTCTCGCCCTGTGGCCCCGACTCCACCCTCCCTAGGTGCTTGCCTTGAACTCTCAGCGCTGGGATTTAGGACGCTGCGGGACCTGCGGGAAGAGATTGTGGGGAAGGGTCTGAAGCCGGGGGCCGGGGTCCTCGATAGTTCCCCACCACAGTCGCTCCTCCTTTCTGCCTTCCCAGGACCAAGAGAGGCGAACCCCATTGCATGCTGCTGCCTACGTAGGCGATGTCCCCATTCTCCAGTTGCTACTGATGTCAGGTGAAAGTGGGGAGCTGGAAGGTGTGGCACCTAGGGAGGGAAGGGAGGGGAAGAGTCTCTTTTCTGATATTTTCTGATACCCAAGGATCGTCTCTGGTGCTTGGTCCAGGCAAGGCGCCAGCTCCATCCAGAGTGCCTGGCCTGATTACTGGCTGCCTTTCCACCCCCTCCCCACCTTCCATCAAAACAGGAAATTATGTCTCCACAGGTGCTAATGTCAACGCTAAGGACACACTGTGGCTGACCCCTCTTCATCGTGCTGCTGCCTCCCGAAACGAGGTAAGGGGGCCTCCCATCTTCTTTCACCCTTCCAGAAAGGATGAGTTGACTGAAGGTGGAGGTTGAGGGTGGGAGAGCATGGATTCTCTGCCTCGCAAGCTGTTCTACCCCAGGTAGGGAGGAGACCAGATCTCGGCCCCTCCCTCCTACCCCTAGAACTGGCTGGTAAGGGGGCTGAGTGCTGCCAGCTGATGTGACGTCAGGGAGAGCTTAACACTGGGCTGGCAGACTGCGGGGGCCCTGCTGCCAGGCCTGAGTGACTCATCCCTCCCTGGGGGGCCACCTTGAGTCTGATCCCCCTCTGGGCACTGAGATTTCTTTCCTTGTGGGGGATGGGGGCAGCGATCTGTTGCACCCCTGTCCGGTGAGCAGCATGAAAGTTGACAGCACAGGGAGCAAACATATGTCATCATTTGGGTCCTTAATCCTACTCTCATCAGCCCTGGAGAGAGACCTCCGCCTCCTCAGTTCAACCATCACTCTCCGGCTCCAGCCACCAGGGGGAGGGACAGAGGCCAGTGGGAATGTGGGTAGTGGCTAGGAGGCACGCGTTAGCCTGGGTTTGAAGGGGACCTGGTATCCGTGTGCCTCCTGAAGAGATGGAAATGATGGCACCTACAGAAGGGCCGAGGAGGGTGTTCGGGATATTCATGTAGCAAGAGCATTTTCTTTTCCTAGAAGTAGCAGGGGGTGAGATGTGTGGCCCTACATGTGTGGGTTAGCCTGGAAATGGAGGTCTGTGTGGGTGGAGATCTTCAGGGTCTGGGCTGAGAAGTGATAGCAGGTGGCTTGAGAGAGCGGAAGGGCTTTTCCCTTCCTGTTTTCCTCAGCCAGGTGAGGAAGAGGGTAAGCCCTAAAAGATCCAGAAGATGGGAAGGAGGTATTGAGAGGCTGGGCATGCTGGAAACATGAGGAGACCCCGTGCTGGGGGTGGGGTCTGTGTGCCATGCTGACCTGTTCCTCCTTCCATGTCCTGTCGTTTCACTTCCTGCTCTCCCGCTGCCTTGTGTCCCCTGCTCCTCACAGAAGGTGCTGGGGCTGCTGCTGGCACATTCAGCAGATGTGAATGCCCGGGACAAGCTGTGGCAGACACCACTGCATGTGGCTGCTGCCAACAGGGCCACCAAGTGTGCTGAGGCTCTGGCACCCCTGTTGAGCAGCCTCAACGTGGCTGACAGGAGCGGGCGCAGTGCTCTGCACCATGCGGTGCACAGCGGGCATCTTGAGGTGAGGATGGCCCCTGCCCAGGCCCAGCCTAGCGCCTTCCCTTTCCTCCCATTCCCTCTCACCTTGCCCTGCTTCTGGCTCTCAGGCTTGAGGGAAAAGCAGCCCAGATGGTTGTGTCAACTCTTGGGCCCAAGCACCAAATGAATGGTCAGATTAGATTAAAATCCTGGCCTCTGATGTTGCATGGGAAATGTTTTCATTCATGCCTTTTTCTGAGGGGCGAGTCCATATCTTTCAACATATTTTCAAAGACTCATAAGAGTTTAAGAATCACCAAATCACTGGGCACAGGGTCTCATGCCTATAATCCCAGCACTTTGGGTGACCGAGCTGAGAGGATTACCTGAGCCCACAGGTTCGAGACCAGCCTGGGCAACTTGGCAAGACCTCATCTCTACATTAAATCAACAAATTAGCCAGGCATCGTGGTGCGTGCCTATAGTTCCAGCTACTTGGAAGGCTGAAGTGGAAGGATCACCTGAGCCCAGCAGGTCGAGGCTGCAGTGGCTGGGAGTGTGCCACTGCCCTCCAACCTGGGTGACAGTGAGACTCCAACTCAAAAACAAAAAGAACCACCAAATTAAAAGGTAGCCAGGCATGGTGGCACGTGCCTGTAGTTCCAGCTACTTGAAAGACAGGCAGAAAGATCACCTGAGCCCAGCAGCCAGCAGGTCAAGGCTGTGGTGGTCATGAGTGTGCCACTGCACTCCAGCCTGGGCGACAGAGTGAGACTCCTACTTAAAAAAAAAAACAAAACGAAAGAACCAATCACTGGCAGAGACTCCCTTGAGTTTCTCTCAGAGTTCCAAATCTATCTAGTATCTTCTTAGTGCTTGCTTCTGCCTTTCCACTAGTCCTGCAGATTGTTCTGCTCACGATCGAAGGCATTTGACTGCCTCATCCTTTCCAGGAGATGAGGCCTCTGCTCTTAGTAGGTTGAGGGCATGAACCTAGCTCCGAACAGGTGTCTTTCGTGTCCCGATACAGACGGTGAACCTGCTCCTCAACAAGGGAGCCAGCCTGAACGTCTGTGACAAAAAGGAGCGGCAGCCTCTGCACTGGGCAGCTTTCCTAGGTGAGCGGATACACGGGAAAATTGGGAATTGGACATTTCAGATTTCTAGGGCCAGATGTGGGGTTGCAGCCTTTGGAGAGAGGAGCACAGGGCCTTCTTAAAAGTGTCTGCCCTTTCCTCAGGGCATTTGGAAGTCCTGAAACTGCTGGTGGCACGGGGAGCAGACCTCGGCTGTAAGGACCGCAAGGGCTATGGGTTGCTTCATACAGCCGCCGCCAGCGGCCAGATTGAAGTGGTGAAGTACCTGCTTCGGATGGGGGCTGAGGTCTGTGGGCAGGGCTGGGAGGTCAGAATCTTCTATGGAGATGTGAGGGTACTGGGGCCTTAGGTGTGGTTTTAGGGACCTGGTCACATGTGGTGAGGAGAGTCTGAATAACTCCTACCTTGAGTAACAGTACTTGCCGGGTGTGGTGGCTCATGCCTGTAATCCTAGCACTTTGGGAGGCTGAGGCGAGAGGATTGCCTGAGGCCCAGTGCTTTGAGACCAGCCTAGGCAACTCGGCGAGACCTTGTCTCTACAATAAATAAAAAAAATTAGCTGGCATGGTGGTTCGCGCCTGTGGTTCCAGCTAATTTGAAGGCTGAGGTGGAAGGATCGCCTGAGCCCAGCAGGTCGAAGCTGTGGTGGCCGTGAACATGCCACTGTACTCCAGCCTGGGCAACAGAATGAGACTCCAACTCAGAAAAAAAAAAGGTGCTCTTCATCTCTTGGGTGAGGAACCCAAGGGGACTGAGAAGTTGTTGAATTTCTGGGGCTCTCTAGGCTCTATGTGGCAGCTTCTACTTTGTTAAACTGATATCTCCCTTACCCTCACCCCTGGAAATCCAGATCGATGAACCCAACGCTTTTGGAAACACAGCTTTGCACATCGCCTGCTACCTGGGCCAGGATGCTGTGGCTATTGAGCTGGTGAATGCAGGAGCCAATGTCAACCAGCCGAACGACAAGGGCTTCACGCCACTGCATGTGGCTGCAGTCTCCACCAACGGCGCTCTCTGCTTGGAGCTCTTAGTCAATAACGGAGCTGATGTCAACTACCAGGTGCCAGAAGGGATAAGGCTTAGACCAGTGCAGGGAGGAAGCTGGCTCTAAGGGTCCTGACCTTGTCTGGGTTGCTCTCCTGGGGAGTTGTCCGCTTGCCTCCTGGGGCCATCCAACCTTGCCAGGGACTCAGGAGGGTATGGACTGAGAAGACACCCATATGACGCCTCCATCCTCAGAGATGTGTCCTTTGGAAGGGGGAACAGAGCATTCTCTATGCCCTGCACTGAAAAAAAAAACAAACCCACCATGTTTCCACAGAGCAAAGAAGGGAAAAGTCCTCTGCACATGGCTGCAATCCATGGCCGTTTCACACGCTCCCAGATCCTCATCCAGAATGGTATGAACTCGGGAGATGTTGTTCCCTCATCTCCTCCCTCAAGGAACTCAGCCCTAGAGCCCCTTACCTCCTCCACCCTCCACCCTCTCCAAGAAAGGACAGGCCCTTGGAACTCTGACCAAGGAACCTGTGGAAATGGCCCAGACCAGTTTCCTAAGGCCAGAAAGGCGATACATGTAGAACGCTGGGCCCTGCCTCTGCCATGCATTAGGCATTCAAATGGTAGCTGACCAGCAAGAGGGGTCTTAGGCCTGAGGTCTGCCTGAATCTGTGTGTGCCTCCCCGTCTCAGGCAGCGAGATTGATTGTGCCGACAAATTCGGGAACACACCACTGCATGTGGCTGCTCGCTACGGACACGAGCTGCTCATCAGCACCCTCATGACCAATGGCGCGGATACTGCCCGGTGAGTCAGGGCCCGTGACCCTGCTCTGGGCCACCTCAGGTCTACACAGACTGCTCACATCAAATGTGAGGGGACAAAGAAACTTGCCAAAGGGAATCTTGGGGAGCCTCCTGCTCTGGCTCTTAGGATGGTCAAGGGCCAGAGAAAGAGGTCTGTAGCTGGTTCCTGACCCAAGGTCTGAGTGCCTCAACTTCTCCCCAGGCGCGGCATCCATGACATGTTCCCCCTGCACTTAGCTGTTCTCTTTGGATTCTCTGACTGTTGTCGTAAGCTTCTTTCCTCAGGTATGTGCAGGTTGGCTTGGGGTTGGACAGGTATACAGGAGGGCAGAGGCCTCTCCCTCTCTGCCTAATGCTCTTTAGTATGACCTGTAGCTGTTGCCCTCCAGGTCAGCTGTACAGCATCGTGTCTTCACTCAGCAATGAGCATGTGCTTTCTGCTGGGTTTGACATCAATACACCTGACAACCTTGGCCGCACCTGTCTTCATGCTGCTGCTTCTGGAGGGTGAGTTCTCTTTCCTCTCTCCCAGGCCTCGAGAAGAGAGCTGGGCAGAAGTCTGGGCCCTTTTTTCTCACCTGCTCAGATCTGTTCTCCTCTCACAATAAGAGCAGTCACAGCAGAGAGGGCTGTCTGGCTCCATGCTTCCTGAACCGCTCCCAGGGCCTATGGCTTCCCCTCGAAGCTCTAACTCTCCAACCCTCGTCTTCCTTTCAGGAATGTTGAATGTCTTAATTTGCTGTTGAGCAGTGGAGCGGACTTGAGGAGAAGAGACAAATTTGGAAGGTATATTAACATGCAGGGTGTGCATGGGGATGTCTCATTGGAGAATAAACTGGTGGAGGGAAGAAGGGGTTAGGTTAGAGACACAGTGAGGCGAATGTTGCACAGTGGGTCCTGGCTACACGTCCGATTGCACTCGGATCTGCCCTGACTCTTCTCCCCCGCCCCATCACTCCTCCCAGGACCCCACTGCACTATGCGGCTGCCAATGGCAGCTACCAGTGTGCGGTGACGCTGGTGACTGCTGGGGCAGGTGTCAACGAGGCCGACTGTAAAGGCTGCTCTCCCCTCCACTATGCTGCTGCCTCTGACACTTACAGGAGGTGAGATTCCTGGTTTGGCCCTCTTCAACCCCATCCTCCTCCCTGAGCCCTCCCCCTGACTTGGTCTCGTCTCCAGAACGGAGCCCCACACACCTTCCAGCCACGATGCCGAAGAGGATGAGCCACTGAAGGAGTCCCGCAGGAAGGAGGCCTTCTTGTGAGTAGCGGAGAGGACCCCGATGCACCTCCCCGGCAGCACTGACTCTGGTCTTGTCTTTCTCCCACCCTCTGCGTCCCTGCTGCCACCCTTCTGCGGTGCTGTGCTGCACTGTCAGTCAGCCAGTGGTGTGTTTTGAGCAGTCTGGGTTTGATTCAGAGTGGGCAAAGACAAAAGTATGAGATTGAAACTCAGGAATTTAAGGGAAAAAATAATACATATATGAGACATAGTTTCTTCCCTAAAGGAACAGATGGCCTTCTTGAGATGATCAGATAATCTAACTATACATCATTTGTTTACTCCACAAGCATTGAATATTTGCTTAGGAGGTTCCAAGTAGTATGCTAGGTACTAAAGATAAAAGAAGTATTACTTGTCTTTTGAAAACTAATAATCTGGGCCAGGCTCGGTGGCTCAGCCTGTAATCCCAGCATTTTGGGAGGCCAAGGTGAGTGGATTGCCTGAACCTGCAGGTTCAAGATCCACCAGGCAACTTGGTAAGACCTCATCTCTATAATAAATAAAAAATTAGCTGGGCATGGTAGCGCGTGTCTGTAGTTTTGGCTACTTGGAAGGCTGAGGTGGAAGGATTGCCGGAGCCCAGCAGTTAAGGCTGCGGTGGCCGGGTGCGTGCTACTGCACTCTAGTCTGGGCAAAAGAGTGAGGCTCCAACTCAAAAAAAAAAAAAAAGAAAAAGAAAACTAATAATCTGGCCAGGCGTGGTGGCTCACACCTATAATCCCAGCCCTTTGGGAGGCTGAGGTGAGAGGATTGCCTGCGCCCATGGGTTTGAGACCAGCCTGGGCAACTTGGCGAGACCTCATCTCTACGATAAATTAAAAAGATAGCTGTGCATGGTGGCGCATGCCTGTAGTTCCAGCTATTTGGAAGGCTGAGGCTAAAGGATCACCTGAGCCTTGCAGGTTGAGGCTGCAGTGTCCATGAGTGTGCCACTGCACTCTAGCCTGGGTGACAGAGTGAGGCTCTAACTAAAAAAAAAAACAAAAAAAACCAATAATCTATTAGGTTAGCTGAATGTGGTGGTGTGCACCTGTAGTTCCAGCTACTTGGAAGACTGAGGCGGAAGGATCGCCTGAGCCCAACAGGTCGAGACTGCAGTGACCGTGAGCATGCCACTGCACTCCAGCCTGGGCGACAGACTTTGACTCAAAAAAAAAAAAAAAAAAAATCTAAGGACA